CAAAGGTACACTCACCAGAGGTCCCCTGTGTGCCCTCAGGGTCTTGGGTGAGTTCGGGGGTTACTGGTTCCAGGTCCAGGGTGACAAACATATCCTGGCTGTTGGGGTAACTGGTTTCTCCGCTTCCTTGCTGCTGTGAGCTATCTATGTTCTCTCCATCCTCATCTTCCTCGTCCGCCGAACCCGCTTCCCCGTTTCCAGAGAGGGACTCATAGAACACGCTTGGGCTAGTGGTGGCTGCACCCCCTAGAATGGCATGCAGCTCCGCGTAGTAGCGGCATGTTTGAGGCTCTGCCCCGGACCTTCCGTTTGCGTCTCTGACTTTGTGGTAGGCTTGCCTTAGCTCCTTAATTTTCACGCGGCACTGCTGTGCATCCCTGTTATGGCCTCTGTCCTTCATGGCCTTGGAGATCTTTTGTAATGTTTTGCCATTTCTTTTACTGCTTCGGAGTTCGGCGAGCACTGATTCATCTCCCCAGATGGCGATCAGATCCCGTACCTCCCGCTCGGTCCAGGCTGGAGCTCTTCTGCGATCCTGGGACTGGGACTCCATCACGGTTACCTGTGCTGATGGGCTCTGCATGGTCACCTGTGCTCTCCACGCTGAGCAAACAGGAAATGAAATTCAAACGTTCGCGGGGCTTTTCCTGTCTACCTGACCAGTGCATCTGAGATGAGAGTGCTGTCCAGAGCGGTCACAATGAAGCACTGTGGGATAGCTCCCGGAGGCCAGTAATGTCGAATTCCGTCCACACTAACCCAATTCCGACCCCCTAAGGCCGATTTTATCGCTAATCCCCTTGTCGAGGTGGTGTTAGGAAACTGGTTTAAAGGGCCCTTTAAGTCGACAGAAAGGGCTTCGTAGTGTAAACGTGGCCAGGCTTAAGTCGATTTAACGCGGCTAAAGTCGACCTAAACTCGTAGTGTAGACCATACAATGGGCAGGGTTGGCTGAAGAGTGCCAGCAAAGTTACGCCGGCTGTGTGCGTGCATGCGTGTGTGTGAGAGAGAGAGAGAAAAGTTCGCCTTCTAGTGGTTCGGCTCATAGGATAAGAGACCTACTACTGCTATCGGGTAGGAGATTCTCTTCCAATCAATTGTCAGATGCCAGTGGTTTTCATAGATTCCAAGGTCAGAAGGGACCATCTGATCATCTGGTCTGACTCCTGTTTATCACAGGCTGTTACATTTCACCCCGTTACCCCTGTGCAGAGCCCAGTAACTCATGTTTGGCTAAAGCATCTTCCAGAAAGGCAGCCCGGCTGGCTTTCGAGACATCGAGAGAATCCACCACTTCCCTGGGAAGTTTGTTCCAGGGGTTAACCAACCCCACTGTAACAATTTGTGCCATGTTTTTCATGGGAATTTGTCTGGTTTCAGCTTCCACCTGTTGGTTCTTGTCCTGCCTTTCTCTGCTAGGTTAAAGAGCGCGTTAGTACCTGGGATGTCTCCCTGCGAGAAAAAGGACACAACGCCTACCCCTAAAATACAATGTACAAGCGAGGCAATCAACCTGTTTCTTAAACTAGTTTTAAACACACACAGACGCAACGTTTAAAAGCAAGATTTCACAAACTTACCTTCCACCACATGATAAAGACATGCTGGTACCTGTTTCTTCTGTTTTCCCGCGGCTATTATTGCAGTCTTGGGCTAAATGAGTAAGCCACATTTTAGTGAGCAATTCCTTAACTGCTTCCTTGACTATGTTTACACAAATACAAATACAGACTGTTTAAAGACAGGGTTTTTCAAACCAGTATTAAACCCAGGTAGAGTTAAAATGGAAATTTACTTTGCCCTGGTGAATTACATCTTGAAGTTGCTGTTTTGGAATACCTGAACTGTGCATTTCCCAGTTTCAGAAGTTTGTTTTATTGAACTTGGTGTCCTGGAAAGGCAGGACATACCACTGGGCAACCTGAAGTCTGTGCTAACAAAGTTTTTTGTGAGTGAATTTCCTACCCTTTTGAACAGAAAGAGAAACGTTGCGGTAGGAGTTAGTGGTCATTTAGGCAGTTATAATGATCATGTGTCTTGACATATCATGTCGTGACAAAAATAATCAGCATAGCCGCTACTGTATTTGGAAAACTGCAAGATCTGGAAGGCTAAAGATAGGAAATCTTTAGGAAATGGATATCAGCCTCTATGAGACAACAGTCAGGCCGCTACTGCTGTATGGGTTGGAGTGTTGGCGTAGCAGCTGGGGCGAGAAATAACCCTGTTGCAGAAGATTCAAGAAAGACACCTGTGGTGGTTTGGACATGTGCTCAGGATAGACCCAGAAAGGACACCTTACCTGGCGATACATACCAGAGTGCAAGGAACTGGAGGAAGGCCAAGGATGCGTTGGATAGACAGGGTGGAGAATGACACAGAACAAAAAGGTTTAAAGCTGAATGAGGCCATGAAGCTGGTACAAGACAGGAAGCGATGGAAAGACCTCAGTCTGCCCCATCGTAGCTGCTGGGAACCGAAGATGACTTATCATGTGGGAGTGCAGTTCAGGTGCCCCGATGGGCAGGTGGTGATAATACCGAGCTCTGCAGAGCTCAAGGAAGGAAACGTGATTATCCCCCTTGTATAGATGGGGAACCTTTTGGAACAGAGATGACATCACTTGGCCAAGGATTCCAGAGGCAACAGCAGTGGATAGAGAGGAGAAGGGAGTTGTGGACCAAGGCCTGGAGCCAGGGGTGGGGAGCACATGCCCTGCTGCTACAGAAGAGCCATCAGCACCCGGGCGCTCTGGTCCGGAGATGAAGCCCATCCTCCGTCTAACCCTCGACCCTGCTGGTGTCTTCTCTGACGTGCCTCTTTGTGTGATCCACAGGTGGGTGCCCGGAGCAGGCTGCCCGGTACCGGTTAGCCTCATGTTGTCCTCCGGTTTGAGCCGGGCGCTGTACGTGTGTGTGTTCATTCCGTTTCTTGTTAGATTGCCTGTCTTACAGCAACGGTGTTTGTAATCAGTTAGCAGGAGCATGGGCTCTAGGGTGACCAGATGTCCCAATTTTATAGGGACAGTCCCGATTTTTGGGTCTTTTTCTTATATAGGCTCCTATTACCCCCCACCCCCTGCCCCGATTTTTCACATTTGCTGTCGGGTCACCTTAATGGGCTCCGAGGCGTAGCTTGGTTGTATTCTGTAGCACTTTGTGTTCACCCTGAAGTGCATGGTGGGGATACCGAGTTTCCTAGCCAGGAGCAGGGTGCAACCCCCCGCCTAGCCCCGCTCCTTGGCGTCAGCCCTCGGGGGCTATGGCTACAGTGACCAGATGTCCTGATTTTATAGGGACAGTCCCGATATTTGGGGCTTTTTTTTATATGAGCCTGGTCACACTAGCTGCGGCAACCCAACCGCAGCGGTGGTGGCCACAGGCTTTGTGCCTTGCCCCCATCCCACCGTGCTCGCCAAGTCAGGGCTGTGGGGGCACAAACTCGCAACCGCCGCTGGGGGCTAACAGGGCGGCTGCGGCGCGGTTTGATCCGGACGAGCAGCGCCCCGGGCCAATGACAAACCGGAGCAGCAAATCCGCGGTCAGGGGGCGGGGCACCACCTGGAAACGAAAGTGATTCGGTTTAGGAGTCCGGGGAGCGAGGGAGCGTGCGCAGCGCCCGGGGCTCCCTGCTGCGGGAAGGGAGATTGCCAAGTGCTGCGCGGGTCAGGCAGCGAGCAGAATCCGGAGTGAGACCGGACCAGCCTCGACTCCGAGCCCGCTGGGAGCCCCGGCGCGTTCCACACCGGGGAGCCAGCCAGCCCCTTTGGCGTCAGGCCCCTGCCGCGCCCGGGGGAGAACAAGTAAGAGACTTTAGACAGCGGCGGGGGGGTTAATGATTAACCCTTTCCTTCCCAGGTCCCCGCATGCTGCTCCCAATCAAGTCCCCTTTCCCCTCCCCCTTCTTTCTCTGCTAGTGTCCCGTCCCTTTTGCTTTGATGTCTCTGATTGTCCCCTCTGCTGGGCCGTGCGCTGCTATATGGCCTGGTCGGAGTATGATGGATTTCTCTAGGGATTGCCCCCTGGCGCCCCCCCCCCCGATGCACTGACCCAGCGAGCCCTCGTCAGGAAAGGCAGATGGGCACCAAAAAATAAATAAATAGCCCAGGGCACCTCCTATGCAAAGAGGGGGCCACTTCCCGTAGCGATGAGGCAAGCCCAGGTAGAGGTTTTGCTCTGTCTTGGGGATCCTGCTGGCGGGGTTAGATTGCCCACAGGGGAGAGCCAGGCAGCACTAGGTGTCCCATGCGAGTCGTGCCAGGCTTTGCCCTCAAGTTCTCACCACAGGCCCTGTCCTGTGCCACATCCTGCCCTCGGGCTGCCCGAGAAACGGCTGCAGGATCAGTGCGCTTGGGTCTTTGGGGAAACAGATCCGAGAGCCCCGCTCGGCATTTCACACCTGCAGAGCCCCTGGCTGGATTATCCCAACCCCCCGACATGCATCGCACACGGGGCCGTGTCTGCCAGCGTCCAGGCATCACGCTGCAAACTCCCTGGACAATCCAACACCCGGCTTGTCCGACAGTCCTTGGAGCGTCCGTGCACGGGGTGATTGGGGGTGTCCGAAGCCTGGACTGTCACGGGGTGGAATCTGGGTCCTGCTTTCCATTCAGTTCCACTTAGACAGGGTTAGTAAATACTGAACAGATGCTACCGTGGTGAGTGGCAGCGGCTGCAGATGTTTAAAGCACAGCAGTAGAAGGTGCTGCAGCTGGGGGATAAGCGACTTATTGCCCCGCTGGAGTCTCTAACAAGTGACTGGTCATTGATCAGCCCTGTATACATAGAACCTTCCTATCAAACGTGGCCAGAATCTGTTCCCCAAAAGCCTGTGGCCTCTGTCCCTGGCCAACCATTTGGCTACTCGGTGACTGATCAGGGGCTGTCGCCTCTTTCTGGCCTGACCTGACTCTTGTCATGGTGCGACCCCTTTTGGAGCAAAGTGCGATGAAATATACGAAGAACCGTAGTGTGTTCTCTGGGCGGGTGAAACTCCCCTTTAATGCAGTAGAATGACACCCCCGTTGTCCCACGGTGCTGAAATGTACCAGCTGGGATTCCAGCTTAGGGCATAGCCGGTCCGGCTCCTGTTTGATCTCTGACCCGACTCCCCTGGATTTAATGGCAGCAGGATTGGGGCCCCTGTCGCAAATGCCGCCTCTGTCATCAGGCTCCTGTCTGTGTCCGGCTGCAGTGAGGAAGGTTTAAAGGGCTCCTGGCCTCTCGTGACACGAAGCCAGTGGAAGGGATTCGGGGCCATTCGTACCAGGGTTCCTGTTAGCTGGCTCCATGGCCCTGTCTCTCCCAACCTGTGCTCGCTGGCTGTGATGTTACAGAATTGCTGCCCCGGCGCTGCATGCAGAGATCACTTGATCTGAACCCCGGAAGGACTTGGGGAGAGCGATTCGCTATCTGGGGCCCCGGGGCAAAAATTACTTAGATGATCGTTGGCATTTAAGACCCATCCACTGAATTGACTCTTTGGTTACCAGGATCTGCCTTGTGGTGGGTCTCTCTTATTGACCAGGCAGAAATATTGCCCTGGGCATCTTGAAAGGAGGGTTCCCATTGGGGGATCTGCTCTGAGCTGGACTCCAGGTGTCGGATCCAGGCAGTGAGCAGAGACCATAACGGGTTTTTTTTCTCTCCCGTCTCCAGGTGCAGAGAAAGACAGCCTGAACCTTACGGCAGCACCATGTCATACCCCTGCGATCCCCCTCCCTACAGTGACAAGAACCACCTCATCCCGCTGCAGCCTGAGGACTACTCGCAGCTGGGACCCTCCGCTGTGGGGTACCTGCAGCCTCGGGGGTACCCACAGCCGGGGGGTGATCCTGGGGCCTCTGTGCAGCCTGCAGCCTGCACTGGGGGCTACCTGGTGCCCGGAGGATATGCACCCTCAGTGGGCTATCCCCAGCCAATGGGCTCAGAGCGCCCCAGGCCAGTGCTTCCCATGCACTCAGGTAAGTTGAACATTCACAATAGGATGCATCTTATTGGGACGCTGCACAGAAACCACAAAGCTTAGAGGGCTACAGAGACCCTCTTACAGCTTCTGAGATCAGAGCAAACACACTGTGTCGTCAACGTGCTGAAAGAGACAAGGGTCCACCCTGGTTCCAGTCGTTCTTAGTCCCGTTCTGCACAGAGGCAGGTCGCCCCAGAGACCGGATCAAAGAGAGTAACGACGGGCTGGATTCTGCTCTCAGGGGACGGGGCCAGACGGGCCGTCAGGGTGGCAGTGCCCATGTGGGACCAGAGGAGCGAGGCGTGCAGGGCAGAAGAGACGGTGGGGTGAGGGGAAGGGGTGTCTGGAAGGGCAGGGCAATGGATACGGTGACTCGGGCTCTGCAGGACCTGGAGTGAGTGGGGGGGTTGGAAGAGATTTCCTTGACCCCTGGGAAGGATGGGCTCCAATATGTCACGCCCCCCAGATCTGATAGAGAGGAGACGTCCCGGTAAAAGGCAAAATATTCCAGTCTCTAGTCCCGTTGCGTCAAAACTCACTCCTGGGGGAATTCTGAGCCAAAAAATTAAAAATTCTGTGCACAGTATTTTAAAATTCTGTGTATTTTATTTGTCAAAATAACACAGTACAATCATGCCAATTTCAATTATTTTGGTAACTTATTTCAAAATACCTGACAGCCAGCCAGCTGCAGTGGGATCAGATCACCTCGACCCGTGGATTTGGGAGCTGGCAAGACTGTGGGTCAGCCTCTGAAACTGCAGGGTTTGGGAGAGGGAATTGGGGAAACACCCCCAAGCTGCTGGGGGATAATCCAGGGGACAGTGGCCGCTGTGCAGAGAACAATCGGTTCCGTTCCCCTCCCCCACCCAAGGGTCCCCGCTGTGCCCTGTTGTGATGGGGCAGCCACAGCCTGACCCCTTCCTTGGCAGCACAGAAATGGTCCCACCCAGAAGGAGGTGGGGTCTGATGGGGGAGGGGAGGACACCCTGAAACACTCGACTGACAGGCCGAGCCCAGAGGGGACGGGGAAAGGAGACGGGGTCGCTAGACAGGGGGGACGGTTACTTCCCTGCGCCTTGTGCCAGATGCACCCCTGGCCTCACCCTGCCGGGTGTACCAGGCTGGTGTCTCCTGTCTGGGCCCGGCCCTCTCGGCCATGCTGTCAGTGAGACCCAGCTGGTGCCGAGGGGCCGTTGGGCTGGGACGTCCCCTGGGGCAGCCCGCTTGTGGGGAGAGGCGGTCGGGGAGGGACCTGACGCTCAGGCGGGGCAGCCCCCGGACGTGTGCCGAGGCAGCAGGGACCCAGGAGAGCCGATGTCCCCCAGCCGTGCCAGCGTTCAGGGCTCCCCTTCCGTTCTTCCAGGGAACACTGGGCTCCCCACCGGGAACAGCTACATCGTCACCAGCTTGGGGGACGACGTCGTCAGGACTATTGACTGGGACGACAAGCGAGTGCGACACGCCTTCATCCGCAAGGTAACTCTGGAGGGAGCCGGGCTGCCCTGCCCCAGGGGTGCAGGGTCTGGGAGCCGGGGGATGGGTGGGGAGGGGGTGTCCCCCTCCAGACTCTGGCCCTGAGGAGCAGGCTGCGGCCGGCGGGGCGAGCCTGGCGCCTGGGTACCAGTGCGGGGCCGAGGGCCTGTGGCTGGCGTGTCTGCGTGGCGAGGCCAGCGGCTAGGGGCAGTGTCAGGCTCCCGTGGCTGCAGGGCCCCCAGTGCTGGCGGGGGCTGGGGGCATGGCCCTGGCCTGGGGAGGGGGCTGGGACTGGAGTGGCCTGGGCTACAGAGCCCCTCACCACGCTGGCCGGGCTAACAGGACACCCGGAGCCCGTTGGATGGGAGCCTTGGTAGGAGCTGCCCACCCTGGGGACTACGAGGGGCTCGATCTCCACGGCCCACCCAGTCCCTGGCCCACCGACCAGCTGCCATTGGGGACATGACAGGGGCTGGCGCTGACTCCATCAGGAGCGGGAGTGAGAGCCAGCGGCTCCCTCCACCTGGGGTGCTGGGCAGCTGGGGACAGCGACGCCTCGGGGCCGCCTTGATGTGTCTGTGCAGGGAGCCGGGCTGGTGACCCCTCTGTGCCTGTTTGTGCCCCGCGGGGGAGCAGGGCCGGTGCCCACGGGTGACCCCTCTGTGCTCGTCTCCTTCAGGTCTACACCATCATCTCAGTCCAGCTGTTGGTGACCGTGGGCATCATCGCCGTGTTCACCTTCGTGTGAGTCTCACCTTGTCCTGAGCCCTGCCCTCACTGCCAGCCCCCAGCAGCTGCTGTCCCAGGGGCTGGTCCCTGCTCCACGGGGCCCCAGGAGCTGGGACGTCCCAGGGACTCTCGGGAGGAACGAAGCCGTCTGCCCCCAATGCCACATCCACCCACTGAGGGGAGGGGCCAGAGCCTCGCCAGGGGATGGAGGAGACGGGCACCGTCTCACAAGGGACGGGGACCCCCGCCCCGGGGCTGTTTAAAGCTGGACTGGGGGCAGCCCTGTGGGACGGGCTGTGGGGGGTGACCCTGCCCTGGCAGGAGTCGGGATGGATCCTGGTGGGTCTGTCTGGGGAGCCGGGCACAGAGCAGCGAAGGGTCCTTGCTCCTGGGCTGGGGCCCTCACAGCTGGTCTGCGCTGTGTGGGGGGCAGGCAGCGGCTTGGGGGTGATGACGAGCAGGGAGCGTCTCACTTCCCAGCCTTCCCTTAGGTCAGTCTGCTGCTCGCTAGGGCCCACGCTGTGAACATCGGGGGTGGACATTGCAGGGAGCAGAGAAGGGGCCACGTGGTGACGGGTGTAGCCAGGAACCGATCTCATGCTCTTCTCCCTCTTCGCAGCTCCCCCGTCCGCGTCTTTGTGCAGGGGAACATTACTGTGTACTACTCCTCTTAGTAAGTATCACTCTGCCCATGGGCGGAGCTGCCAGTGCCAGCTCCACTCCTTGCTCATCCCGGGCCCACCTGCCCTTTGGCTAGGCCCCTGTGCTGCTGTGTGAGACCTGGCAGAGTCACCGCCGCTCGGTCAGTGGGCTTCCTGCTGAGTGCCACAAGGCGCTGGTGCCCCATGCCAGAGACAGAGGGTGCTGTGTTGGCGCTGCCTTCAGCCCCTGGTGGCATGGGGAGGGAGAAGGTTAGTTAATCACTTTCTCTATGGAAAAAAACCAGGAGATCAAATGCAAAAAACTGCAGGTCCACTAGCAAGGAGTTTTAATTAATATGTCAAATTAGGGGTGTACCATATGACTGGAGAATAAGAGAGAGAAAAGGTGATTCAGACAACTGTGGACCCGTGAGTCTGAGCTCAATTGTAGACAAGGCTTGGGAACAAATTTTGAAGGAAAGACTTATCAGAGGTAAATGGGATAAAGTGCAGTGGGCTCACCACAGGTAGATCGTGCCAGGCAAACCTGGCCTCTTTCTTAACTGATTCTCTAGACAGGGAAATGTGGCAGATCTGTCTATCTGGATTTCAGTGAAGCATTCGATACAGGACCATGTGGGAAATCATCAGTGAAGATGACACTCTGAGGACTCGTACAGGAATTGGAAGGCGGCTAAGGAGCTGGCTACAGAGCAGCTGATAATGGGTTATGCTGAAAGGCCGGAGGGAGGTGACTAGTGGTATTCCTCAGTGGTCGGTCTCGGAATCAGTCTAACTTAATATTTCCATTGGCGGCTTTGGCAGAAAAAGTAGGAGCGTGCTAATGAAATTTGCTGGTGATATATGTTGGGAGGCATCGTCAGTACACAGGAGGATCGGAATATCATCCAGGAAGAATTGGCTGGCCATCAGATTGGAGACATAGAAATGGGTCATGCGTTTAGAGAATAATAAGAATTTCTGCTATAAACTGGGGGCTCATCAGTTGGGAACGGCGGAGGAGGAGGAAGACCTGGGGTATTCATTGACTGTGGAATGACTATGGGCTACCGATGGGACGCAGCCATGACAACAGGCAAGTGTGATCCCAGGATGTATCGGGCGAGGCGTTTCCAGGGGAGAGAGAAGTATTAACGTCCTGATGGAAGGCACTGTTAAGGCCTCATCTGGATACTGCGTACTGCTGTGGACGCCCATGTTCAGGAAGATGAATTCAAACTGGAGCAGGTGCAGAGAAGAGCTGCTAGGATGATCAGGGGAATGGAGGGTCTGGGATGAGTGTTAAAGAGCTTGGCTCGTTTAGCCCAGCAAATGAGGGCGGAGAGGGGAGCTGATTGCTGTCTATAAATACATTGTGGGGGGGAAGGCATCAGGGTGGGGAAGATGTGACAGGGCTGCCTGCGAGAGCAGAGACGGGACTGAATGGCCCCGGAGGTCCCTTCTAGTCGTCTGATCTTGGGTTAAGACATGCAGAGGGAGCGAGATCTAGTGGCTGGAGCATGAGGCTGCGGGTGAGGAGTTGTCTGCTAATACCAGCTCTGCCGCTGCTCTGTGCCTCGGTTTCCCCTCTGTGCCAGGGGGATAACGCGTCCCTACTCCCGAGGCACGATGGGAAACATGAGGAATGTTGTTTGGGTGCTTTGAGATCCCCAGGTGGAGGCGAAGGCAACACACACGGCACAAGGCCAGCAGGGCAGAGCTAGTGGCTGGAGGCGCCGGGAATTGGACTCTGACTCTGTGGGTGTGAAACCTCGGCCCTTCTGCTGCCAGCGCGAGGCTCCGAACGGCTCCGACTCCGGGTGGGCAGCAGGGCTGGGAAGGGTCCCAACCTCTGTCTCTCTCTCTCTCTCCCCAGTGCTGTGTTTCTGGTCACCTACTTGGTGCTGGCCTGCTGCCAGGGCCCCAGGTGAGTGTCTCCTTCACTGGGGATCAGAGAGGGCGGCCCCTCCCCCCGAGCCCGCGCCCCAGCTCAGAGTCCCCCGGGCACTGGGAAGCGGGTCGGGGGGGAGTGACTGAGGCAGGGGGCCGTGGCCAGAACGGGCTCTGGCTCCATCCCCAAGGGGCGATGAGACAAGGCTGCCCCCAGGGTCGATTCCTGTCCATCCAGGGCCGCTGCCTGCCCTGACCCGGGGGTTGGTTTTCACGGGGACCCCCCTGTGCCCTGCAGTCTCATCGGGCCAAAGTGGTGCCCTTGCCCCAGGCGACATCACGCTGAGCTCACCCCAGAAACCCGACCCCCCGGCTTCCCCCCAGCCTGCGGCGCAGCGCCCCGGGCTCCGACTACCTGCACCCTGACCTGTGTGTTCCCTGACTTCCCCCAGGAGACTCTTCCCCTGGAACCTCATCCTGCTGAGCATCTTTGTAAGTGGGGTTGTGGGGCTGGGTTGTACCGGGGGGAGGGGGGAGTGATCCGGGGAGTGGGGCCTGTGGGGAGGAGTGGGATGGAACTGAGGGAAGGCTTTGATGTCTGAACGCTGGTTAGGATTGGGGCTGGGGTCACATGGGGGGGGGGTAGAAATGGGGGGGGGAATGTGTTTTTCATGGCCCGCCTCCTACCTCAGGGTCACACCTGTGCCTAAAACACACCCCTCAGGCTATGTGAATCCCCACATCTCGGGACCCGCGGAGCCGACACAAAGCTTTGATCCCTCGCTGGGGCTGGCTCCACAGCTAATCGCCCCCTTTCCTTTCGTTTGCTGCAGACGCTGGCCATGGCCTTCATGGCGGGAACCATCGCCAGGTACTGGCTGGGGAAACCCCCTCTGAGCCCCTTCCCCGAGTTCGCCTGCCGCCCGCGGGGGGAAAGTGTGAAGCACACGCCCAGCAGGCTCCTAACATCACTGTGAATAGAGACGACCCCCCACGCTTAAAAATGAACAGAGAAGTTTCTGGTAGTAAATTAGTCTCAGAAAGGCCCTTGGATTCCAAGCCCAGAACAGCCCCATCTGCAGACTTGAAATTGATCACAAAGATCCAGATCAAATCAGGTTTTTCCTCTGTTACCTGCCAAGACCCCAGCTCAGGGTCTCCCCTCACAAACCCCTGACTTACCTCACTACCGGGTGACCTGGATAAAAGGCTGGAAGCTGGGGGTGGATACTGGAAGTTGCAAGAGGTTATTGGAGAAGCAAGAGGGAAAACAGTGGGATAATCTGCCACACATCTCAGCTGTCTGTACACTAATGCAAAGGGTAAGGCAAATCAAGAGGCAGACCTGAAAGTCTGGGCACACAAACAGAATCCTGACTGAATTGGCATCCCAGAGTCTTGGTGGGATAAATCAAACGGTGGGAATATTGGCAGAGGGGGTCTCTTGTTCAGGAAGGCCAGCAGGGAGAAAAGGGAAGAGGTGCTGTGTTGTATATTAAGAATGTATACACTAGTTCTGAGGTCCAGAAAGAGGAGGTGAGAGGCATTCCCCTTGAAAGTCTCTGGGGGAAGATGCCAGGGGTGACGTCAGAGGAGGGGTCTACTGCAGGCCCCCAAATCAGAAGGAGGAGGTGGATGATACATTTTCACAACAGACATATCCCAAGCCCAGGCCGTGGTGATAAGAGGGGACTTTACCTATCCAGACATCTGTTGGAACAACAATACGGCAGGACGTTGACTGTCCAGCCGGTTCTTAGAATAGGCTGGGAGCAACTTTTTGTTGCAGATGGCGGAGGAGATCGCTGGGGGCGGCTATTTATTTTTGACGTTGGCCTCCCTAACAGGGAGGAATAGATTGAGAATCGGAAGGCGGGAGGCAAACTGAGGCGTGGTCTACACTGGAGGGGCGGGGGGGGTCAACCTAAGATACGCAACTTCAGCTATGAGAATAGCGTAGCTGAAGTCGACGTATCTTAGTTCGACTCACCTCGCGTCCTCACGGCGTGGGATCAACGGCCGCCGCTCCCCCGTCGGCTTCGCTTCCGCCTCTCGCCGAGCTGGAGTACAGGAGTCGACGGGAGAGCGATCGGGAATTGATTTATCGCGTCTACACTACACGCGATAAATCGATCCCCGATAGATTGATCGCCACCCGCCGATCCGGCGGGGAGTGTAGACATAGCCTAAGGGAAGGGAGGAGCCAGAGAAGCAGAATAAGGACAATGGATTTCAAAAAAGCAGCCGTCAGCAGACTCGGAGAACTGGTAGGTGGCGTCCCCTGGGAAGGAAATTTAAGGGAAAAGGGAGTTGGGGGCGGGGGGGGCAGTTTCTAAAACAGCAAACTCTCCCACTGCGAAGGAAAGGTAGGGAGATGTGTAAAAGACCAGCCTGGCTCCATCAGGAGCCCCTTAGTGACCTGAAAATCAAAAAGGAATCACACCAGAGGTAGAAACGAAGCCAAATTGCCAAGGAGACGTACGAAAGAACAGCACAGGGAGGTAGGGACAAAAATCAGAAAGGCAGCGGCACAAAATGAGTTACACCTAGGAAGAGGAAAGCGAAGGAACGTGTAGGTCCATTACTTAGCGGGGAAGGAGAGCTCTGACCAGATGACCCAGAGAAGGCTGAGGGGTTTAATGTCTTTTTGCTTCAGTCTTCACTAAAACAATTAACTGTGAACAGATGCTTAATACAATTAATATTAACAACACGGGGGCAGGATCTTGGGCCAGGATAGAGAAGGAACGGTCAAAAAAATACTGGGTGTGCTCAATTGGCAGGGCCTCATGACTTTCGCCCTAGAGTATTGAAGGAACGAGCTGAAGCAGTCTCTGAACCATTGTTAATGACTATATTCGAGAACTCCGGGAAGATGGGTGAGGTCCCAGAGGACTGGAGGAAGGCAAACATTGTACCCATCTTCACAAAGGGGAAGGAGGAGGACCCAGGGAGTTATCAACTAGTCAGACTAATAATTTGTTCCAGTCTCTTTTGTGGTATTGAACAATCAGTCTGTGAGCACCTAGAGGTTAATAGGGTAATAAGGAGCATGGATTAGTCAAGAACAAATCATTACAGAACAAACCTAATTTCGTTCTTTGACAGGGTAACTAGGTTAGTGGATGGGGGAAGCAGCAGACGCGCAATATGTCTGGACTCTAGTAAAACTGTTGATGCTGTCCCACGTACAGTCTCATAAGCAGACAAGGGAAATGTGGTCTAGGTGAAATTACTATAAGGTGGGTTCACAATTGATTGAAAGACTGTCCTCAAAGAGCAGTGTAAGAACAGTCGGACAATGGAACAGACGCCTAGGGAGGGTTTTCACTGGAGGTTTTCAAAAGGAGGGTGGAGCCATCTGTCTTGGATGAGTTAGAAACAACAAATCCTGCATTTTCGCAGGGGGTTAGACTAGAACATGACCCTGGCGTCTCTTCTAACATTATGATTCTATAATCAATGGTTTGCTGTCAAACTCGGAGGACATATTGTGTGGGATTCTGCTGTGGGCTGTCCTGGGTCTAGTGCTAGTTAATATTTCCATTCACACCTTGGATGATGGAGTGGAGAGAGCTTATAAAATTTGCAGGTGGCACCAAGCTGGGAGGGGTTGCAAGGACTTTGGAGGACAGGATTAGAATTCAAGATGATTGAAAAATTGAAAAATTGGTCTGAACTCAATCAGAGACATTTCAGTGGAGACAAGTGTAAAGCTCTGTCATTTAGAAAGGAAAAATCAAATGCGCAAATACAAACGGGAATAATGGGCTAGACGGTCGTGCAGCTGAAAAGGATCGGGGGGTTCTAGTGGACCATAAATTCAAAGAGTCATTATGACGTGGAAAAGGCAAAACTCGTTCTGGGTGTGTTAACGGGAGTGTCGTATGTAAGACACGGGAGGTCATTGGCCCACTCTGCTCGGCACTTGGTAGGCCTCAGCTGGAGTACTGCCTCCAGTTCTGGGCACCACACTTTAAGAAAGGTGTGAACAAACAGGAGACAGTCCAGAGGAGAGCAACAAAAATAAGAGGTTTAGAAAGCCTGACCTCTGAGGAAAAGTTGAAGGAATTGGGCACGTTCAGGCTGGAGAAGAGAAGGCTGCGGCAGGACATAATAAGTCTTCACCTATGTTAAGGGCTGTTCTAAAGAGAACAGTGATCAATTCTTCACGTCCACTGAGAGTAGGACAAGAAGGAATCTACTTAATCTGCAGCAAGGGAGATTTAGGTGAGATATTAGGAAAAGCTTTCCAACTTGAATCATAGATTCATAGAATATCAGGGTTGGCAGGGACCTCAGGAGGTATCTAGTCCAACCTCCTGCTCAAAGCAGGACCAATCCCCAACTAAATCATCCCAGCCAGGGCTTTGTCAAGCCGGGCCTTAAAAACCTCTAAGGAAGGCTAGTTTAGCCCTGGGACAGGTGGCCTAAGGAGGCGGTGAGATCCCCGTCATTGGAGGTTTTCGGAACAGGTCGGACAAACACCTGTCAGGGATGGTCTGGGTTTACTTGGTCCTGCCTCAGCGCAGGGATGGACTAGATGACCTCTCAAGGTCCCTTCCAGGCTGATGTTTCTCAGACTAACGGAAGCATCAGTGCTTCCTGCCTTCCCCGCCACTTAATGTCCCCCGTCCTGTAGTAGCTACATCGCTGACTCTCGGCAGCAGATCCTCTCGCACAGGGCTTGGCAGATAACGGGGAAAGATTTTGTGTGAAGCGATCGATCATATCTTTGCACATAGAGCCATGTTTGGATTTGGAATCGTTTTAAAGGAGGGGGAGGGGAAAGCTTTTTAATTCCCCTTTGACAATCAGCAACTCGCTCTGGTCATCTCAGATCTTGGGCGGGTCCCTAGAATAGCGGGAGGGTCTGTCCCCGTAGCGGGGCACGGCCGGGCTGAGCCATCACCACCAATCTGCTTGGCCGTGTCATTGCCAATGCCTAGGGCTGCTGAAACTGGGGCAAACGGAATATGTCTCCTGGGCCTCTCCCACTTCTGCTGACTCTGTCTGGTAATTAGAGAGACAAGGTGGGTGTATTTGGGAATGTCTTTTTCAGCGTAGACAGGGAGATTAGAGACATCCGGTGTTGGTTGCAGGCCCTGTCGTGTCGGGGTCGCTAGCCCTGCGGGGGAGGTGGGCTCAGACGAGAGGAAAACCAGCCCCACCCTGGTTCTAACTTAGGGGATCCCCTGGCTTAGCTCAGCTTGAAGGAGTCGCCCTGGAGCTTGGACTCAACCAGGCGCCTCCTGGGGGCGAGTCGCAGGACCGCAGGCTGCCTGTGATGGCTTTTCTATAGGGCCCATGGGTGCCGTGTCGGAACGCCCGCCGAGCGCTGCCCCCGAGCCCACGGGATCGCACTGCCGGGGAGCGAGCCCCGGTTCTTGGCTCCCATTGGCATGCGGAGGGGGAAGTGGGAAATCATTGAATGGCTTTTAAACTAACCCCACCTCCCCCTCTTAACCCTTTGTGTGCAGCACGTATAGCAGCGGGGCTGTCCTGATCACCATGGTGATCACTGCTATAGTGGCCATAATTGTCACCGTCTTCTGCTTCCAGACCAAGGTAAGGCTCGATGGGCTCCCTGCCCGTCCGGGGCAGCAGGGACGGGGGGAGTCAGGGGATTTCCCCTCCTGAGAGCCCCCGCGGCATAGGCTGGGACAGGGTACGAGGCAGCTGCTGTGTCATCCAGAGTGGGGTGCTGGAGCGGAGAGCCCCTTCCCCTAAGGGGTCCACGGTGCCTGTGCCCAGCTCTGGGACTGACAGAGCAGGAATCGAACCTGGATCTCGTGTGGCAGCCCAGAGAGAGCTGGGTCAGTGACCCTCCGGGCCCAGCGCTTTGGGGTGTCCATTTCCCAGCGCGGCTCCCACTGGCTGCATCCCAGCTGTGCAATGCGTTGCCCTGCGTGCTGCTGATCCTCGCTACCCAGGCTGCCGCGCAACATCCGTCCCGTGCCACCCACCCTCGGAGAAGAGCCAATGCAGCCGATCCGCGCTGACATGGGGAGCAGATGGTGCCTCCTGCAGGAGAAGCCCAGTGCAGGGAAGATAAAAAATCTGTGGTGTGTGGGGTTTTTTAATTAAAAAAACCCACAATTTTTAAAAATTTTAATTTAAATACAGGGTTTTTTTTTTAAATATAAACCTGTATTTAAAATTAAATTTTAAATTGGCAATTTAAGACCTAAACTTATTCTAATCTATTAAAACCATTTAAATTAAATGCAAAAAAGTAATATTAAGCAGCCCGTTTCCTGCCAAGTTTTAAAGGACGTCACACCACTGAGCTGGTGGAAGTCACTGGCTAAGCACCTGGGACTAGAGTTTGTTGAGGGGCTAACCCAGCTTTTGACAGCAGTAGCCTCCTCTGCAGGTGTAGACAGATCATGTTCTCCATTTCAGTTTATTCAACTAGTTCGGTTCATTCAAAGTTAAGAAATCAATTGGGGTCAGTGAAAAAGCAGGAAAGTTCATTTTCCTCTTCTAATCTCTGAATAAAAACCAGGTACGAGAGGATGAGATCTACTAGTTCTAAAATCTTGAAGGACACCGTGACTAGAAACAATCAGTTCAGTTCACTAACTACAGACAGTACTTCCTTTGTTTAATAAATCAGTTAGTTTTGAATGCAAAACATGTTTTGATCAACTTTTTTTTTTTTTATGTATCCAGCACTTTTAAGGTAGTTTTATTTAATGACCAAAAAATCGCTGTTTTCCTATATTTTTATTGTTTGAATTTCCATCCAAACAGAGCTTGATGCAAATCACAATTTAATCATCATCTGGTAAAAAGTTAAGCTACGTAACTGCTTAAATAGATGTGTATAGAGCTAGTGTCTCCTCCTGGTTAGCAAAGAGAAGCACCAAATTTAGTGTAAAGGTTCTATTTAGTTGCAAGTCTACCTGTTTTAATGGTTGCCAACCAATGAGCAATTGTCTTTAGGACAGTAACGACAACGTACAAATGCGAATCACAATTACAATCGATGATTTAAATCAAGGTTTCCCGCTTGCTGATATAAATCATGGTTAAAATCGGTGATGGACATGGCTTTGATTTAAGTCAGTCCATCCTGGTGCAGCGGGATGGCTGTGTTCCACTGTTCTCTGTGGGTCTCACGGTAACTTATCTCCCTCCCGTCGGCAGGTGGATTTCACATCGTGTACCGGGCTGTTCTGTGTGCTGGGGATCGTTGTCCTTCTGACATCGATAGTCACTGCCATTGTCCTCTACTACAAATATGTGAGTAGTGGCTGCTCCTTGTAACATGGGGACCTGGGGAGACCTATTCAGGGACAGACTAGGACATGATATCAATGCTGCCCTCTGCAGGCCCCATCCATATCTGCAGAACTTAAGCACAATGTTTCCAGCATGGCACATGTGACCTGCCTGAGTATGCAGAGAGCCTGAAGCAATAGCCCTGACGGATGGGTGACCTGTCTCATTTACACAGGGGAGATGTTAATTCTGGAACCTAATGATGGCAAATCGAAATGTCATCAGCAGAGAGATTTCATCCCTGATCACATCAGGTTCTGGGCAGGGGGTGAATGAAGTTACCAAAACTTTGTCTCTCAAGTGGATCCCACTTCAGCATCTTACAGGAAAGCAAATCTCTGTCCCTGAGCCAACTGTACTCAACAACAGCTCGTGCTCAGCCAGGGATTTCGGCGGGTGTTTTGTTGACAGTGGAAGTATTGCCTGGGAGACTCGGTCCACCTTAAAAGGCAGCTGTGGTGCAGACATGATATTTGGGAAGGGTGGGTGGCTAAAATCAGATCCTGCAGCTGTACCTCCTTGAGCTCATACAAGTGAGACGTGCCTAGCAACTTGCCATCTTTCATGTGCTGAGTAGGATTACGCCTGGTTGATGCTTGGATGGGAGACTCTGGGGAATATGCTCTGGGTTCTGGATAGTTTTTCTCCAGCCCCGTACTGGTGGGTCGCCTTGCTCGTCTGCACCCTGCAGCCGCCTCTGGGCTCCGAACACCTGCTCGGAGCAACGTGATTCAGTCCTCCCCTCTTTCTGCAGATTCAGTTGGTCCACATGGTGTTTGCGGCCGTGGTTGCGATCGCCTTCACCCTGGTGAGTGACGTCGCTCACCCTGTCCCGGCTGAGCTGGGAGCCTCCTATGTGGGCTGCTGTGTCGGACGCATTCCTGGGGCGGGTGGGGGGAGGCAGCTCCTGGCTCAGGCATGTGGGGCTGAGGCTCCTTAGCGGCGTGGCTGACCCATCGCCCTGTCTCTGGTCTCCCCAGTTCCTAGCCTACGACACCCAGCTGCTGGTAGGGAACAAGCAGTACGCGCTCAGCCCCGAGGAGTACATCTTCGGCGCCCTGGAGATCTACGTGGACATCGTCTACATCTTCTTGTTCCTGCTGCGGTTCCTGGGCTGGAAATAGAGCCTCCAGCCAGGCTCCTGGCTGGCATGGCCCGGGGCCGAGGAGCGCTCTGGGAACACCTTGCTTCCTTCCTGCTTCTGTTCCTTTCTCCCTCCTTGCCCCGGCGTGTGTCTCCCGGCCGATGCCCTCTGGTTTCCCTCCTTCCCCGGGGAGCCCAGCGTGGGATTCCCACAGTCTGCACCTAGAGGGGTCGTGGGCGAGACTGTGCCCTGGAGAAGCCCAATAACGAGGCTTTGCCCAGCGATGAAGCCAGTGCTGGCAGATTTCTGCCTGCCCCGTTAATGGTTCTGCTGCCCTCTGGGCTCGCACGTGGCCTCCGTCTTTCTTCGCTCCCCGCTGGGCTCCCAGGGATGTGTCAATGCACCGAGTTCATCCCCGTAGCAGCCCTCGGTACTCGGTGCCGGGCGAGGCACCTGCCCCCAGACCCACAAACACGGCCCCTCTGCCAGCACTAGCTGCTAAGACAAGGGGGCACCTCATATTCCCCAGCAATAGCTGAGAGCGGGCATTTCTGGACATCACGCTCCACATGTTGAGCGGTGAGACAGATCTTCCACCCTAAGGAGAAGTGAATTCACTTCTCTTGTGGTAGAGCGCAGGCAGGTGGAGGCTTCCGTCTCTCACCTTAACGTAAGCCTGACCTGTCCCGCCCCGGGCCTGGCGAGCAGCGTTACTCCGAAATAACTTGCTGGATGGTTTGAGTTACCTGGAGCTGCCTGAGGTCAAGCTTGAGACATGTCAGCCCCAGCTGCTGTTCGGACCCAGGTGAGATGCCCCAGGGGAGGGGAAAGGTAGGCAGAGGGGCAGCGTCTTCATCAAATCCAAACCCACTCAAAGGAGAGTAGAAAGACGGGCTCGGGCCTTGCTCCGATCCAGACCCCGGTGTGCAAGTTCCTTCTGGGCTGCAGAGCGCCCTCCAGTGGGGAGGAGCAGGGGGGGCTGCGATTATTGCATGGATCTGATTTTTAAAGGGCGGGAGGGGAAATTTTTTATACGTGTCCTAGACATCGCTGTTTGCTCAGCACGGTTTTTACCCTGTGTCTGAGAGTGGGTTTTTTACAGTGCAACAAAACTCTTCCGGGTTAACAATACTGCTTTGGTCTCTCGTTTCTCACGTGCCTTAAACTAGCCTTATGTTAAATGGTTTTTTAATCTCCTTAGCTTCAGCCTGTGGCGTGTACACAGGAGAGACCCAGGCTGGCTCTCGACGGGTTTCTGTTCTTTCTAATTCAATGTATTTTATCCTTGGTTAAGCAAAGGGCTTTTTACAGCACTGCTTTGTTGTATATTTGACCAGTCCGGAAAGCCAAAGGGCCTTGAAATAACATTGACGGGGGGGGGCGAACAGCACACAGGGAAGTGCAAAGAAACGTGCTGTGTACAGTAACTCCTCATTTAAAGTTAACGTTGTTTCGTTGTTACTTTGCTGATCAATTAGGGAACATGCTCGTTTAAAGTTGTGTAACGCCTGCTTTGTCCAGTGCTTGCAGGAAGAGCAGCCCCTTGGAGCTAGCTGGTGGGGGCTTGGAACCAGGGTGGACCGGCAGCCCCCTATCAGCTCCCCCATCAGCCCCCCGTTCCCCTAAGTTCCCTGTGCAGCGGCTGCCTGCAGTTCAGCTGTGTCCCTCCCCCCACTGCCATGTGCTGCTCCTGCCCTCTGCCTTGGAGCTGCTCCCCGAGACTCCTGCTTGCTGTGCAGGGAGGAGGGAAGGAAGAGGGGGGCTAATGTCAGGGTGTCCCCCCTCCCCCGTGCTCCTGCACCCCACTTACCCCATCTTCCATAGAGCAGGGCTCAGGACGGAGGGAGCTTGCAGCTGCTGCGGTCTCAGCAAACTGATCTAATTAACAAGGCAGTGTACTTAAGGGAAATGTGCATATCTCCCTCCATTTAAATAAATAAAAATGAAATGGAGATATCCCATCTCCTAGAACTAGAAGGGACCTTGAAAGGTCATGGAGTCCAGCCCCCTGCCTTCACTAGCAGGGCCAAGTACTGATTTTGCCCCAGATCCCTAAGTGGCCCCCTCAAGGATTGAACTCACAACCCTGGGTTTAGCAGGCCAATGCTCAAACCACTGAGCTATCCCTCCCCCCATTCCTGCTGCCTTGCAGAGTGAGAGAGTTAACCCTTGAGGGCCCAGCCAATTGCTAGTTCATCATTTAGTAGCAAGAGAAATATCCCACCCTCTGACTCCTCCACGTCAATCAAGCTTCACAATCATCATCACTGTGTACCAGTATTAACTTGTTTGTTTAAAACTTATGCTGTGTGTGTGTATATATTATATAAAGTCTTTTGTCTGGTGAAAAAAAAATTCCCTGGAACCTAACCCCCTCATTTACATTAATTCTTATGGGGAAATTGGATTCGCTTAACATCATTTCGCTTAAAGTCACATTTTTCAGGAACAGAACGACAGCGTTAAGTGAGGAGTTACTGTATGTTGCTCATGCTCTCTAGTAAGAGATTCGCTTATTGCAGAAGCAAACAGAGCTGGGGCCGCAGGCAGCATTGTAAGTCACCACCCCTAATTCTAGAGGCTGGAACAGGTGCTTTAAGTGGGGGCAGGATGGGGCGGAAACGCTGCGTTGGAGCACTCTGGCTCCCCCGGGGCAGTGCTGGTGAAGGGGATGGGGAGCAGCAGCTGAACCCAGAGCCAGTTCCCAGCTCCTCATGGGAAGAGCAGGCTCAGAGCAGGGCGGCTGGATCAGAATCCCCAGGCGAACGCCCTAAAGGGCAGGGTGTGGGCAGGGGAACTGGGGGTGCAGCCAGCGTTAACCCTTTGTGCTCCTTCCACGACGCTAGCGGCTTGGGCCAGCCTTGTTCACTCAGTGCCTTAAATCCCGATGTTCCCGGCGGATGATCTGAGGTCAGCACAGCACATGGCAGGGAGTCGCCCCTTTCACGGGCAGCCCTCGTCACATCCAGGAAGGGAGAACAGCCTGTTCTGGATGCCGGCTTTGGAGGCAGAGCTGCTGGTGAGCAGAGCCCAGCTCTGGCCTGGCTGAGGGCGGGGGCGTAGGCCAGCCGGGGTTAGCTTTGCTATGCAAAGGGCTGTCGGGTGCACTGCAGAGGTTAGTGGATTGGCTCAACGGCTCCCCTTGAGGACAGACCTAGAGACCCCTTCCTTGGGAGCGCTCCGCAAACCACCAGCCGGGTTCGGAGAGGTCCCCAGTCCATGCAGCAGGGGCGTGAGGGGATGGCTGTATAGCATACGCTGTATTATATTCTAATGCTGCAGCCAGTGGGAGCAGCGCGGTCGGCTCCCGGCACCAAAGAACACAGACAAGTTGCACTCAATAAAGCGAAACACTGTGTACTTTTTCAAGCATCCAGCATCTTTTGATTTTTATTCACGCTTGTGAAAGTGACAGTGGTGCAGGGGAAAGAGGTGGGTGTGACCCCTGGGACCTGAATCTACCCCATGCTGGAGGTAGACTAAGCATACCCCACCCCCACCCTGCAGAGACCATCTCTGGAAATGAGACGGGAGCTCAGTCCCTGTGGCACATACAGTCCCCAGCTGAGGCTGTCGGCAAGGATTGGGGGAGAGGGAACGTAGCTACCTCCCAAACTGGACCAGGACTGAGCCTCACCGTCTCACTTCACACAGCCTCAGCAGTAACATTCAGGTACCATGGAGCTGGACCCTGTTTAAAGCAGCTTCTGAATTCCCTGCCCCATCCAAGCCAGATTCCCGGGGCAGCAGCATTACCCACACCCCTGCGGGGATACTTGAGGGGCTTGAGCCAGCTCTAACCATCTCCCACCACCAACCTTTCAGAAGTGGTAACTGGCTCCTCCCCAGACTCGGTGAGGAAAGGCTCGGGGCCAGATCTCCCTGCAGTGCCACTGACGGCTAAGGACACTTGGTGTAACATCCCCTTCCTGTTGTGCCTCTCAGGGTTACAGCTGCACAGGGGCAGGTTTCTCTGAGGGGAAGGGTTTATTTAGGATCTCACTTCTGTCCCACCCCAGCTGTGTGCAACGCACAGAGGCAACGTGAGAAATCTGAGTAGGGTAGAGTGATTTGGGCAGAAACAGCATGACCCTGCAGGGGACTGACTCTCAAACAGATGGGCTGTTGGCACCTAAGACCAATCACTGGGATAGTGTTTCTCATTCTGCAGCATCAAGCAGATTTGCCTCCACGTCCCCGAGCTCTGAGCGGGAAGGAAGCCTCTCGTGCCTTGGCTCTGTGTCCAAGACTAGGCCTTGGTGTCAGCCACGCCCTCTGGTCCCAGCGAGGTCCTCCTGTACCGCGCTCGCTCGTACTCCCCCACGTTGGACGCCTTCATCTTCTGGCGAGCCTTTAGCTGCTTCAGGCGGTTCTTGTCCACTTGGCGCTTGGTCAGGAGGAAGAGGATGATGCCGGAGGGGAAGCCGATGGCCCTGCGGGAAACCAGAGTTATGGTTAAACTGCAGGACATTCAGCATCCATCAGGCAGGGCGAGGCGAGTCACAGCGAGATGCTTGCACTGCCTCAGGCTTCTCCCAGTTCTGCCGATGCCAACCCGCAGTCCCCCTTGTCGTTCTAGGCCTGGGCTCCTGTCACACAGCTCTGCCAATGCCTCTGAGGAGTCCCCTTGCCACCACCAGGCTGGGGCAGATCCCCTTTGAGATGTCCCCACGCTGCTCCTTATGCTAACAGAGAGGACGCCAGACACTCCCATGGGACGCCAGGGCCTGAACAAGCTGCCTCCATAGAGGGGCGCAGGCAGACAGCGCGCACTGGATGAGGAATTCAATCCCAACCGAACGGGGCTGAGGCTAGTTCTAGGCAGGGGACACTGATGCTGATGATACCCCCGACCCCAGAGCGGGACAGGGATGAGCAGCAATTCGCAAGACTCACCAGGCCACACCAACCATCTTCATGGGGTTCTTGGCTTTCCGGGGAGGGATATACTCGGGGATTTCACGGACTCGCTGGCCCGGTTCAGGCTTGGCTCGTAACTCCAATGGGGCTCGGCCGCTGCCATGGAGGAGTCGGACGATGGGTCTGCGGGTCCCGGCTAAGCAAACTGCCCGGCTCACAGCAGCAGAGAAAGATCCTGCCCAAGACAAAGCCAGGTTACCCGGGATGGGGAGGGGGCGAGGCAGGGGTCCCGGGCGGGCTGGGGATCGCTGTGGGAGTCAGATCGGACGGCTGGTCTCGCATCTGCACGCGTGACATCACCGGGACGCGGGATAGGGTCCCGGGGGCCCAGCAGTGACTGCAGCGGGGGCCTGGCCAGCCCGGCGGGCGGGTAACGGGCTGGGGCTCGGGTCCCTGCTGGCCTCAGCCTCTCGACTCCAGCCCCACCCCAGCGGCTCGGGGGGGAACCGGGCACAGCTGGGCGGGGGGAGGGGCCGGCCCC